TGTGTCAAGTAAGAGATTGCTACGGCTGAGGTCAGAGAGGTCTTTTCCTGCTTTCTCCTCTAAGGTTTTGATGGTTTCCTGTCTCACATTCAGGTCCTTTATCCATTTTGAGTTTATTTTTGTGAATGGTGTGAGAAAGTGGTCTAGTTTCAACCTTCTGCATGTTGCTGTCCAGTTCTCCCAGCACCATTTGTTAAAGAGACTGTCTTTTTTCCATTGGATGTTCTTTCCTGCTTTGTCAAAGATGAGTTGGCCATACGTTTGTGGTTCTAGTTCTGGGGTTTCTATTCTATTCCATTGGTCTATGTGTCTGTTTTTGTGCCATATGGGGGTGACATTTGTATCCAAGGGGCCTCAGGCAGCTGCAGGGGCTGGGCTGGAGCTGGAGCACAAAACTTAAGTGGGGGCGCCAAAAACCTTGGTAATCAAGACAAATAATATTGTAGCGTAGTGTTTTAATATCAAAATTATTGCAGAAAAGTCATGATGAACAGACTGTTGGCTATTTAAAGTCAGGATTCAACAGGGCCAGGTTTAAGGTAAGGCGGTGAGAATGAGTCCTGCAAGCATAGGGTGGATCCTGTCTGTATTTACAATTTTGATATTATGTTCGTGGCGGGAATTTTGATTTTTAAATTTTTATTTATTTTTAAAAAAAAATCTTTATTTTTGAGAGATAGTGAGAGCGTGTGCGCACGCAGGGGAGAGACGATCCGAAGCCGGCTCTGCGTTGACAGTAGATAGCCCGATGCAGGGCTTGAACTCATGAACCGTGAGATCATGATCTGAGCCAAAGTCAGATATTTAACTAACTGAGCCACCCAAGAGCCCCCGAATTTTGATTTTTTTTTTAAATGTAATTTTATCTTCATTACTGAGATTTTTGGTATTCCTTTTTATGCCCGCGGTGAGTGCCTCACTGGCCTTACCCTGGTCCTGGCTCTCCTGCTGGGGTACAGCGCTGACACTAAGCAAACCCCCCAGCTCCAGGGCAAGTGCAGGGAGCACAGGCTTGGGAGTCAGGTCTGGTTCTGAGTCATGGCTCTGGATTACTAACTATTGAGCTTTGGACAAGTGATCTTCCTGAGCCCTAGTTACCTCCTATCAAAATGAGAGCTATTCAGCACCTGTTTTATTGACTGTCTACATGTATGGCCCTGTGCTAGGTGCTGGGGGTACTGAGCAGAATAGATAGGGACTCTACCCTCAAGAAGCTGTTAATTGCCATGGAATCCAGAAGTTTTTGGCCATTTCTGATATTCATTAAAAATTTTATTTTTGAGAGGGAGAGAGAGAGCACAAGGGGGGAGGGAGGGGCGGGGGGGGCGGAGAGAGAGAGAGAGAGAGAGAGAGAGAGAGAGAGAGAGAGAGAATGTTAAGTAGGCTCCATGCTCAGTACGGAGTCCAACATGGTGCTTGATCCCATGACCCTGGGATCATGACCTAAGCCAAAACCAAGAGTCAGACGCTTAACCAACTGAGCCACCCAGGTGCCCCTGCTGTGCATTTTCCATTCCAGTCTCTTTCTCCCCAAAACACAAATATTAGACCTTTGGTATTTTCCTGTAAGTCCTAAACCTTTAGTTTTCATAATTTTTATTAGTCTTCAAATTCACGGGCTCTTCTGCCGCCTCCCCTCCACCCTGGGTCCATCCAGTGCTTTCTGTGTTTACTGTTAGATGCTGTATTGTTTGGTCCTAAGCTTTCTAATTGTCTCTGTTTTAGAGTTTGTATTTCTCTGTGGCAACATTCTCTCTCTCCATTAATCTCAAATGTGTTTACCTTTACCTGACAGAGTGTGGTTATAATAGCTGCTTTATAGTTTTTGTCTGATAATTCCAGCATCTGTGCCATCTTGGAATTGGTATGTGATGATTTTTTTTCTTTGCAAATGGGTCACATTTCCTGATTCTTTGTACGTAGAGTAATTTTGGATCGTATCATTGACATTTTGAATGTTCTAGTCTGTGGACTCTGGGTCCTGTTACAGTCTGGAGAGTGTTGACATTTTTGTTTTAGCAGGCAGTTGATCTTGTTAGGTTCAGACCACAGGTTCTGTCCTGTCTTCTGTGGGTGGTGGCTCTGATCGTAGTATAGTTTTCAAAGCCCCTGCTGTACTGCTTTGGGTCTGTCTTGCTCCTGCTCGGCACGGGTGAACTTGAGACATGCGTGGGGTCATGCACAGAATTAGGGTTTCCCTCCTGCTGTCTTCTCTCTGGGATTCTTCCCATACTCTCTGACCTGCACAGGCCCCTCTTCCTGGTTCTCTGGCCAGAAACATGAAGTTTCTTACAGAGTCTTAGTTACCTTTCCCATTGCATTGCTGTGCAGGTCTGAGAGTGGTGCAAAGCCAGGACAGCAAAAGGGAAAAAAAAAAAAAAACAAACAAACTAGGAAACTCGCTCCTGTGCTGGCCCCTCCTACAAGTTTCGACTCTTCTGATAGTCACCTGCTTTTGTTTACTTTCCAGAGTAGTTGTTTTTTGTATTTTATCCAGGGTTTTTCATTGTGATCGGCAGGACAGGGAGGCTGTTTTGGCTTACGCTGACCATGCCAGAAGAACTCCCCTGGAATGTTCTTTTGATCATGGACAGTATTTTTCCACCAGCTGCTCCTAAGAGCCTTCCATCAGTGAGTTTGGAGTGGTGTTTCAGGCACCTGTAGAGGTGTGGGTTCCTCAGAACTGTCTGAGGAACTCTGGGTGCCTTGGAGAGAAATGTCATGAATCTCTTCTCCCTGTTCTGTTATAAAAGACAGAAACTGGGGGCACCTGGCTGGCTCATTCAGTAGAGTGTGCAGCTCTTGATCTTAGGGTTGTGAGATAGAACCCTACATTTGGTGTAGAGATTACTTACCAAAAAAAAAAAAAAAAAAAAAAAAAAAAAAAAAAAACAAAGAAATCCATTTCCAGCTGGCTTGAGAACACTTTCTGGCCCTGATCGGGAGGGCAGAAGTATCACCAGGAACCCTTCTTTTTCATGTTTTGGCATTGCTTCCCTGCATTCATCTTTGTCTCTGGCGGGCCCTTCCAGGGTGGCCCACCATGGCCTACATCCTAGTTTAGCAACCCCGGAGGACAGAGATCTGCTTTCCTCGATAGTTCCAGCACACATCCTAAAGCTCTCACTGGCCCAGCAAGGTGTCTGAACCAATCCCTGAGGTCAGGGCATGGAACATGTTGACCAACAGCCTGCATCATATATATGTGTGCCTGGCCTAGAGCCAGATGGAGGTGGCCGGGGGGTGGGGGGAGGGTAATCAGCACCATCTGAACTTCAGGAATGGAGATGTCACCCTTGAGGGGTGAGAAATATCTTAGATCATTATAAGGGTTTAACAGATTGACAGTTTGTGGGATTAATATTTCTTGGGGATAGGTGATTACGAAGAAAATGTCTACAGAGGTTTCTGGGGGCACAGTATGAAGAAAGGTTGACAAAGTCTGCCCTCAAGGAAGGGGAGGTGATGCTCTCAGAAGGCCGCAGGATGTCAAGCAGCAAAAGCAGGACCTCTTTGCTCTGGGGGAGTCTGAAACCCAAGCCAGCAGCAGACAGGAGTAGCCCAGAGAGGACTACCTGTCAGGGGCTTGGTGGAGGGTGGGGTGGGGGGCCAGTGTCTAGAAAGCTGCGCCTCGCCTTTGGCCTCCCTGGCCCAGGAGTTCTGGTGTTGTAGTCTTTCTTTCTAGGAAGTGTGAGGAGGGACGCTGACCCGGCTGCTGTCTTCTGTTTCTGGTACAGGTGAAGAACGAGGTGGAGAGGCTTCCGAGGCAGCAGCGGAAGGAGAGCATGAAGCAGAAAATGGAGGAGCACGCACAAAAGAAGCAGCTTCTCGTGAGTCCTTGCCCTCGGTCAGCGAGTCCCAGGTTGGAGGACCCGAGTGATGACCAGGTTCCTCCTCTGTCTCAAGTCCAGCCTATTTTGTTGGCACCTCCCTCACGCAGCCTTCCTTGATTGCTCTCGCTCCAGGTAGAAGTGAGCTCCCTGTCTCTGGACACCCCAGCCCTGTACATCCGTGTCTTAGGGTTGTTTGTAGGCCATGTCTCCTTGAATAACCCAGTACATCCACCTGCCCACTTGGCACCTTTTAGAATCTTAAGACAAACCCACGACCTCCCAGACCTGGTCCTGTTCTTGTATTCTGAGGGGGCACTGTCCTTCATCCTGCTGTCAGGCCAGAAACGTTGTTATTTCTGACCGTTCCTTTCCTTCCAACCCTTTATCACCTCCTGAAGCATGGATTTTGTTTTTTTGTTTTTAAGCTCCAAACTGTCTCTGGATCTGCCAACTTTGTCAATATCTCTGTGACTCCATAGCGACTGTCATCTTTTGCCTGGACTACTGCAGTAGCCTCCCAGCTAGTCTCCCTGCTTCCTCTCTTGCTCTCCTGCAATTTTCTCTCCCACCAGCCAGTGTAATCAATATGAACTCCAGATCTCATCATGTCACCCTCCCCCTATAGCCTTGTGTCCTGAAAACCTTCAGGGGCTCCCACTTTGTGTATAAGATAAGGCGAGCCTCCTCATGTGCTTACAAGGCCCTGTCCGTCTGGCCCCTGCTAGCCTCTCCCTGTTCCACTCGATCCTCCCGGCCCCAGCCTCACTGGCCTTCTCCTTAGCCTTTGTCGGACCATGTGCTTGTTTTTCTCCTACTGGGGCGTCTGTACATTTTGCTGCCTCTGCCCCCAAATGTATAGAAAATTAGAGTCTACACTTAAAATGCTTTTGTATATTACCCAGTTTAGCGTTCATGGCTTATCAGGGTAGGTGCTATTTGTTTTTCCCTTTACAGAGAAAGAAAATAAGGCTTAGAGAGGTGACTTTGTAGAGTTAATGGTATGGGGCGAGGCTTGAAACTCAGTCTGACTCCAGGCTTCATGTTCTCTCCAGGACACCATCATACTTTCCTACAACCTGTCCTTTGATGCTGTGATCAGAAAAAAAAATGCAGGGCTGGGGAGGGTGGGGGAGATAGGCCCCATCCCCACACAGGGAGAGCATATTGGGCCTTTAAGGGGGCCATTCTTGCAAGGGCATCAAGAGCCTCAAAAATGTACACATTATTGGCTTGGATTTTTTTGCTTCTAGAGAGACTAATCCTAAGGATTAATCATCACAGAAGTTCACAAATATTTAGCTACCAGAGTATGAAGACATACTCCATCTAAAATAGAGACAACTTGGGGCAACCGGGGGGCTCAGTCAGTTAAGCATCCAACTCTTGATTTTGGCTCAGGTCATGATCTCACAGTTCATGAGTTTGAGCACCGCATCAGGGTCTGTGTGGCCAGCACAGAGCCTAATTGGGATTCCTCTCTCACTCTCTTCTCTGCCTCTTCCCCACTCTCTCACTCTCTCTCTCTCTGCAAATAAATAAATAAACATTAAAAAAAAAATAGAGACAACTTGGAAACAAATTATTAGGTATTGGGTGAATAAGGTTAGGGTATACCTACCTGTGCCATGAAATGTTTTCAGCCTTTGATAGAAGATTACATTATCACATGGAAAGGTATTTTTAATTTTTAAAAATTATAGTAAGATAAGGCATAACGAATTTAGCACCTTAACCATTTTTAAGCATACAGTTCAGTAGTATTAGGTACATTCACACTGTTGTGCAAACCATCACCACTGTCCGTGTCCAGAACAGTTTATCTTGCAAAACTGAAACTCTACCCATTAGATGATAACACCCCATGCCCTTCCCCCAGTCCCTGGCAGCCACTATTCTACTCTCTGTCTCCACAAATCTGACTTCCTGTAAGTGGGATCATGTGGTATTTGTCCTTTTGTGTCTGATTTACTTGACATGTCTTTGAGATTCATCCATGTTGTGGCATATGTGGGAATTTTCAGGGAGGAGTAAGATTCCATTGTGCATATATGCCACATTTTGTTTATCCACTCCTCTGTCTGTAGGCACTTGAGTGCTTCCATCCCGTGGCTGTTGTGAATAATGCTGTTATGAACATGGGTGTACAAACCTCTAAGTCCTTTTAAATAATTTGTGAAATACAGATGCAAACATGTTTGTATAGATACACCAAAACCAGCTGCTGCTCCCGGGTGATAGGATTAGTGGGGATTTCTAGTTTCTGCTTACGTGTTCCCTAAAATTTTTAAATTTTAATTTTTTAAATCTGACTATGGAAAATTAAAAACATAGGCAGAAATAGGTATATTAGGAACCCCCACATACCTGTCACCTGTTACCTGGTCTCAGTAATTAGGAGCTCATGTCTACTCACTCCCCCACCCTTCAGGGTTATTTCGAATCAAATCCGAAAGTATACATATCGTATACTTTCACCTGTCAGTGTCTTAGTATGCATCTCTAAAAGAAGCCACAATACTATAAAGTCACCTAAGAATTTAAATATTTATCGTAACTGCTTCATGACATCCCATTTGCAGTTGAGTCATTAGTTACATTTCCATTTGTCTCATGAATTTTTTTTTTTTAATCTGTTGTTTGAATCAGGGTCCACATGAAGCGCATATGCCACAGTTGGTGGACGTGTCTCTAAGTCTCAGGTTTCCCCTGCGTATGTTTTCTTTGCCGATCACAATGACTCCTCTGTAGTAAAAGTAGACGTTGAGGTGCTGGAACCGGTGCTAAAGGTCTGTCCTCCTCTCTCCCGCCCAGGACCGGGACTTCCTGGCCAAGCAGAAGGAGGACCTGGAACTGGCGATGAAGAAGATCACTGCGGACAACAGGCGGGAGATCTGTGACAAGGAGCGCGAGTGTCTCACCAGGAAGCAGGAACTCCTTCGAGGTGGCTGCCAGAGAGTGGGCTGTGCTAGGAACTGCTAGGTTCTCCATCCTAAAACCGAACAGCATCCTTCAGGGCGACACATGGGGACAGCCTCCACTGCAGTCAGGACTGAGGCACAGAGCCGACATTATATGACCTCTTTCCTAAGGTTGAGGAAGGAAGAAAGCCAGCAAGCCATGTAGAGTGGGTGGGAACTACGGGGTGGTGGGGAAAGTATCGTGCCCCTTATGACATCCATCACATATGGAGTGACGGCTGTGCCAGGCTGTGTGCCAGTTTTCATGGCTCTCTCTCCTTGAATCTTCACCTTAACCCGACAAGTTGTTTTTGTAGACGAGGAAACAAAGGCTTGCAAGAGCCACTGTGCTTGGGCCGGGGTTGCTTGGCTAATGCGTGGTAGAATGAGCCTTGAACGTGGATCTCCTCTTGAAGCCGAGTTCCTGACTGCTCTGGTGTGCTCGTGTTCTGACGGGTTTGCGGGCTGGCAAGTCCTTCGAGCCCAAGACCTTCCAGAGACACTAGTGCAGGCCACTCCCGGAGGGAGGAGGGCAGAGGAACTCTAGGGTACGGAGAGAGGGTTTCTGTATCTGGATGGGGTCACTAGCAGTGGAGGTTCTGGGGTAGAGTTCTGAAGGGCAGCAGGGCTTAGGGTCTTTCTTGTAGCCCCTTAGGTTTATCTTCTCTATGCCTAGCGGATGTTGGGTGCAGTTTTGTGGGGCGTGCAAAGCAGGTGGGCTCTGAATGGCGAAAAGTCTGCTGTTTGAGCTACACTTGAAACAGTTGGATGGGAGAAGTTCAGAGTTTGGCACCCGTGGGCTTCTGAGAGTCAACAGTCCAGCCTGCGGTAAAGACGTAAACAACATAGGGCCGGTTGTACAGGTGCCATCTCTGGCTTACTTACACAGCAGGTGCTGCGGCCAGGGCTGTGATGGCCGGTGCAGGCAAGCCTTGTAAACCCCTCAGTACTTAGTGTGGGGCAGCAAAACGGGGTCCTTGATGTTCTGACATTCTGAAGAGCCACCGCGGTTTCAGGAAAGCCCTCATTTTCTTTTTTGGTCCCATGATGCCAGTAGGAACCACCCTACTTGTGGGACAGCGCTTTCGACTTTGATAGGAAGCCAAATCACTGTTCTGATGTACTGTGTGGGTAGTTACCAGTTTTCATAGATCAGGAACGCAATGAAATGAAATGAACATTCATGTGGGTTGAGCACCACCCGCTCCGTGTCTTACAGGGCATGAAGTCTTCATCTGACACCAGCTCCGTGCCTGTGGCTGAGCAGAAGGTCAATTGATAGACTTCCAGTGATAAAATGCCAGATGCTGTGTCTTAATAATAATGTATACATAAGGGATGTACAATGGCCAAGGAGGGTCTCGTCCATTCTTTAAAGGAGTAAATAGTGACAGGAGGCTGTTCCTGTCTTCTTCATGGGGTTTCGTGAGCCCTTCCCACTGGCCCATTAGGAAAGCAGCAGTGTACTGTGAGCTGAACATAATGGTCTCCCAAGACCATTTCTGCCTCCACGGAATGGTTGCACACGTTTGGTAGAGGTGGAAGTGGAGGCCTGGAGAGGATTTGTTACCTGTCCCAAACCCCAGTGAAGGAGCTGGGTTCTAGCCTCAGTCTCTGGTTTCTCTGGTTCCTGGCTCCATTCGCTTCCTGGTGTACCAGGCTCCTGGGAGCTAACATCTGATGCAGGAGAGGGCAGGGCAGCGCTCAGTGGCGCTCTGGCCATTAGCATCTCACCAGGCCTCATGTCGTCCACAGACCGGGAGGCAGCCCTGTGGGAAATGGAGGAGCATCACCTACAGGAGAGGCACCAGCTGGTGAAGCAGCAGCTCAAAGACCAGTACTTCCTCCAGAGGCATGAGCTGGTGCGCAAGCATGAGAAGGTGAGGTCCCGACTTGGGCGGGGCATGGGGCTGCCACCGGAAGCTCTGGGAGGGCCAAGTGGGGCCCCACTTGGGTACCATCTGTGCTCCCAAGAGGAGGCAGGCGTCGGTCATGGTAAGGCCCTGGGAGGTTCTGTGAGGTGTCCTTCCTCCGATGAAAGGGCCAGGAATGGGGGAAGCCCTGCAGGGAAGCAGATGGCAGCTCCCTCACTGACTTAGACACCTTAGTGTGTGCCTTTCACTTTTTCCTCTTCTCCGTGACCTTTCCATTTTCCCCTAATCTCTCTCTTTCATGTGCATTCCCTCGGAATACTTTCAAGTCTCAACTTAATCACCACCTCTGCCAGGAAGCCTTCCTTACCTCCCTCAGACCAGGCAAGGGCCCCTGCTCTGTGCGGCCAGAGCACTCTCTTACTTCTATGTAATTGTCTTGATTTGGTCCCTTTAGTGGAAGCAGGGACAAACTGAGATCTGGATGCACAATTAATGGATAATTACAATTCCTAATCTAAATGCAATGATGGACAAACAGCTTTGGGCTGTGGCGGCTCTGAATAAGGGTGCTCAACCTGGCTTGGAAGTCAGGGGAGGCTCCCTGGAGGAGGTGATACCCATGCCAAGTTTTGAAATACAAATAGGTGTTAGGTGAAGGAAAAACTCAAATTTATCATGACTTTTAAAAGTATGAATTGACATCTGCCATCAGTAGTGTACGTCTTGCTTTGAGGTATTAGCTTTAATGACATGCCAACCATTGATTAGATGAGAAGACATTTAGAAGGTAAAAATCCAAAGCGTTACTAACAAAGAGTAACATTTTCTGTTCTCACTTAAAAAATTAACAGTAGAGGTAAAATGATGCCAGACTTGCTCTGCTGACCATTCAGGGCCACGTGTGTCCTGGGCTCCCGAGTGGAGGGTGGCAGCCTTTGGCCTCTGATCACACCCCCGGCCCAGAGCACACCTGACCTCAGCCCCGCTGGCTGTGCCCCCAGGAGCGGGAGCAGATGCAACGCTACAACCAGCGCATGGTGGAGCAGCTGAAGGTACGGCAGCAGCAGGAGAAAGCACGGCTGCCCAAGATTCAGAGGAGCGAGGGCAAGACGCGCATGGCCATGTACAAGAAGAGCCTCCACATCAATGGCGCGGGCAGTGCCTCTGAGCAGCGCGAGAAGATCAAGCAGGTGGGGGCTCTGTGTGTGTACTGCAGTGGGGACAGATGCTGGTTTGGTGGGGCCTGAACTTTATGTGGCTTGGGGAATAGAAATACAAGCTGCAGTATGGGGTCTTGGAAGGGGGGTGTTGGTCATAGCCTGGAAGCCTCACAAGCTCCACAGCGAATGTCCCTCCGGTGGACAGAGGGGGAAGCTTGGTGTTGCTTTCTCATGCACGGTTCCCTTTCACACTGTGGTGCTTCGATCCTGCGGCTTCCTCTGCTGGTAAACCCCTTCTTCTCATCCACCAAGACCCCACTTGCATGTCACCCATTCATCTTGGGGACATGGCGCTGGTGGCCCTGGGCTCCCGTGATTCCTGTGTGGTAACGCACGTTGTCTTAGCATGTGGCACAGCACAACGTTGTGTCCCCACCAGCCTGGGTCTCCGCTCAGGAAGAGAGCATGGCCTGAATGGTGTAGGGCACTAGGGCTGTGCACAAACCAGCCCCTCTGATGGGGCTTTCTGGAATGGGGTGGGGGTA